AAAAATGGGAAAGGGAACATTACCATAACCTCATGACAGCTGGAGACCTGAAGCACAGAGGGCTTAGCTACAGGGTAAAACTGTGAACTGAAGTTACATCTTCTGAATCTTGTGTAGTAATCACGTTAACACTCTTCCTCTCCAGACAGCCATAAGTCAGGATAAGACTGGCTCTCCTGCATGTGTCTAATACTGTTGATGCAAAACTTCAAGGATTTTCTTTTATCCATTGATCCAGGAAGACAAGAGCACAAATATTTATGGTTGTGGGCATCTGCTATTTACTTTAAATAAGAATCTAATATATATGTGGAAGTGCTTGCACGAAGGCCTTTGACTTGCAAATTAAGGGCACCCTGCTTCCAACTGGCAGTATTTATTCCTTGGTAATCAGTTTTTAAGGACATGCTGTAACAGGCATTGGCCACCAGGGATACTGTTCTGGTCATCCAGTTTTCCTTTCTGAGAAACCCTACTGGACAGCTTTCCTTTTGATTGCCACTGTCTTTGGTACCCAATGAAGAGCTCCAGAATGAGAGGCTATTTCTGCACTTCACCCACACTGGAAGGAGGCTGCAGAGCCATAGCCACCTGGCACGTCAGCTCAAAACACTTGTCAGGGAATGGAGATATTTGTGCTCCTTTTGAGCTATTTAAAAAGAGACTCTCTCTAGATACACTCCATTTGAGTGGCTGCTCCTGCCAAGGTGGCGTGTTGTTGCCACTGTGGATAAGGGAGGATGAGAGGAGATGACTATACAGAGTGAAGAACCAAAAAGCATAACTAATTAACAGTTATGATAATCACGGAAGCAAAAATGATAAATAGCCCCCCTCTGGATTCCCCCGGGCTCCTGCTGCAGCTTTGTTTGCAAATGTAAAGTGTGAAGCCAAGTGAGCATACAGCACAGAGCTCTCTCTTTCTTCCTGCAAGAAGGAGCGAGCAGAACAAAATGTGCGAAAGTTCAGCTGCAGTGGATCCCCAGCACTCTGTACTTAGCACTTACCTACTGCAAGGAGGCTGCTGTAGGCTTGGTCCTCCATTACATCATTATTGTTATTATTCTTTGGCTTCCCGTCATGGACCAGAACACCATTGTGCAAGGCACTGTACGAATACAGAATAAAAAGACCTATGAACTACATTTCTTACAAGAGGCTCCAGTGATCTGATGCAAATGGGATGGCTTTCATTCCTCTCCATGCAGTCAGATCACTTGCTCAGCTGTTGGACTTTTGGCTGCAATACACCTCACAAAACAGTCTATCCCAAAAACTGCAGGTCACCCTGTCTTTACTGTAGCCACAGAACTTGTGACTGCACACAAGCAAGTGAAAATTGATTCAGCCTGCTTCAAGGACTTTCAGATGGGAAGTTCCAGCATAAGGAGTATTGTGCAATCTATTTGTAAGACGCATGCCTCTTCACTGACGTCTTTCCAGATCTGAATCTGAGGGTACGTCTACACAGCAGAGTTAATTTGAAATAACAGCCCTTATTTCAAATTCACTTTAATTGCTTCTATACAGGCAAACCGCTATTTTGAAATAAAATCAAAATAGCAGGGCTCTTAATTTGAATTAGTTAAACCTCATTCTATGAAGAATAATGTCAAATTCAAAATAGCGAATTCGAAATAAATGCTGTGTAGATGCTTACTTCAAAATAGGGGGCCTCCAGCCTTTCCTAGTTTCCCGTGGTGGCCACTCTGTGCCAAACCAGGAAGACTCTTCTCCTCTCCCCCAGCCCCAGAGCCAGGGGCGGATGAGAGTTTTGTGGGGCCCAGGGCAGCACAATTTTGCGGGGCCAAGCTTTGGAGACAAAATAGAAAAAAGGCGTCAAATGCGCAAATCGAAGGCTATTTTTCACATTAATTGATTGATTGATTGAGTTTGTAACTGAGCAAATCTCATGAACAGTACTATTAGACAAAACAAACCACAATGGCACTGTGAATTAGATCTTTTGTTTTCTCTTTACATAGCACTGTTGTGCTATGCTACTAGCAAACGCATCCAATCCAGCCTATTATAATTCAGAATTCTATGAATACATATGATTTTTGAAGTGCAGTGAATACATATCATTTATTGCAGAATTGCAATATGTTATTTGAACTTTCACTCCTTTATGAAGGAATATGTCTGGTGAATTCTAAAATATAACACATTATTTTGTGTGTGCTAGGGAGAGAAGCTAAAAGGACTGCAACAGCAAAAACGACCACTCACCCCTTCTAACTGCTGGATTTAAATGCAGAGATGAGCCTTGAAAAGGCTGGGTGAGGGCAGGCAGGCAATAATACTTGAAGAACAGGGCCTGCAGACATACTAGAAGAAGGTGTAGTAGGAAAAAAGCCTGAAACATATGCTCTGTATTGGAGGCTTGGGGCCTGTCCAAAGTAGTAGTTAAAGCTCCACTGATATAAAATAAAGACAAGCTGTGAGCAAGAGGCAGGACTTGCTCACAGAATCTGGCAAAATCAGAGCTGATATTGGAGAAAGAAGTGGTAGGCATAAAGTACACACGTGCGTGCGCACACACACACCCCGGTATCAAGTGGTACCAGAACATCCCAATATCAAGGATAGTATAAAAACATTCCTCCAGAAAAACAGGAACATGCTGGCCCCTCCTAAAAGATAAGGTCAGGATGACAGTGTGTAATAGAAATATTATGATTGAACCAGTGTGTACAAGGTGATGGGTAAAAACTAGCCATGGCAGGACGCAATAAGTAAGTATATCAGAAGGGCAGTACATAACTTGTTTGTTGGGATATAAAGATGCATCTCAGAGAAAGTCTCTGAGTCTAACCTAGGGAGTAAGGGTATGTCTACACAGCAAAGTTAATTTGAAATACCAGCCCTTATTTCAAATTAACTTTAATAGCGTCTATATAGGCAAACCACTATTTCAAAATAAAATTGAAATAGCGGGGCACTTAATTCGAATTAGTTAAACCTCATTCTACAAGGAATAACGCCAAATTCGAAATAAACTCTGTGTAGACACTGATTTCAAAATAGGGTGCCTCCAGCCCTTCCCAGTTTCCTCTGGTGGCCACTCTGGACCAAACCAGGAAAACTCTTCTCCTCTCCCCCAGCCCCAGAGCCCTTAAAGGGGTAGACTCTGGCCACAATGCACATGCCACATCCAGGCTTTCCAGCAGTCGCTGCCCCTGACCCAGTGGCCCCAGGATGAGTTGGGCAGCCAGCGGTCCCCCGCCCAGTCCCCCAGCACCCAGGAGCCAGCAAGGAGTTGTAGATGGTGGGCGCCTACCTGGACTAGTGTGGAGATCATGGACCTCATTGAGGTTTGGGGGCAGGCCCCCAATGTCCATAATCTCCACACTAGACAGGAACGCGGCTGTCTACAGCCACATAGCTGCCACCATGGGCAAAAAGGCCACAGGCACACCCAGGAGCAAGTGCTCCTCAAGATCAAAGAGCTGCGTCAGGCATACGCCAGGGCCACTCAGGGCAGCTCTGCAGCAGGGGCAGACACCTGCCCCTATTTTGATGCCCTGGACCACATCCTGGGGGGGCAGTGCAGTCCGTGCCACCCCTGGGGGGCAGCGAGCCAAGACCAGAGGACCCTGACCAGGGCATGGAGGAGGAGCCACTACACCAGCAGGACCCCCTAGCAGTCCCAGGAGAGGAGTCAACAGGGTCGTCCGGGGAGGCCACACCACGTAAGTGCCATCATTGTCCCCTTCCTGGGGAGGAGGGCGGGGAGGGAGACCAGGAACTATGCGCATGGCCCTTGCTTACCACGCATCACGCAGCAGCCTGTGCATGGGCGAGCATGTTCTGTGCCATCCCAGGCAGGTGGCTCCAGCTGCCTGCTACACAGGGGCCATGGCCAGATAGCCACACACATGTGTGAAGAGACCTGACATGCTCCTGATCCCAGGGCGGGACACAGCAGGATGCCCTCCCTTCACAAGCCTCCTCTAACTGGAGGCAGGAGACATCTCCCCCCACCTCGGCCGCACTATACACAACACAGAGGCCTGGGTGCAGGCTCGGGGCAGCTCCCCCTCCCAGGGATAGCCCGACATTC